GAGCAGGCAGAGTGCAGCGTCCGGCATTTCTGAGCAAAGGTTAAGGCTCGTGAACTTTCAGAGGAGAAGCACCGATGCTGCGCAGCCACGTAGCGCTCTCGCAGCACGGGCACCGGGACAGCGCTGTCCCTGCAGAAGGGACTCATCATGGTGAGGCATCGCTCTTCACCAGGCACAGAGAACTTGTTGCTTAAACAAGCTGTTGCTTGGACTTGTTGCCTGAACAGCAGACCAACGGCCGGCTTACTGCACCGAGGACCGAGATCCCACCCGCCCCTCGCTCCTGCTCCCCCCCGAGTGACATCCAGCCGCCGCGCTCTCCGCAGCCAGGAAATGCGGCTCCGCTGGCTCAGCGGGAGGCAGAGCAGCACGCGCACCCCGCAGCACCACGTGTACCCCTGCTCAGAGGGACCGGTACCCACGGGGCACACCGCTCACGAGCCCTGCGTTAGCGAAGTGCCTCAGCAGTCACTGAACGGACGCGAAATTCACAGACAGCTCTGAATATGGCTGTCTTAAAAACCCAGGGTGATTACGTGCTGCGTTCTTCCTTGCCCGCTCCCTACGTCCCGCTGATTTCATCTCAGGGTAGGGTATTTCTGCCATACGGCTTCAGAAATGCATTCCCAGAAGGACCCAAGATAAAGGCCTACTTTTTGCAGACGTGCTGAGACCCGCTGCGGTACTCGTGATCAAAGGCTGGCAGGATGAGCTGGTGCCGCTTGAACTTGCTCTGCTCCATGCGCGTCAGGGCTGGTGTGGGAGGGTCCCGCCACTCGGGGATGAAGACAATAAAGGAGAGGGGCTCACTGGAGTTCTCCAGCAGTTTCTAGTTCAACAAGAAAATGAACCACCTCAGCGCTGGCTGAGCAATGACATGCCTAATGAGTCCTACGGAACCGAAACACTTCTGCTTCCAGAGCGGTGCTGCAGCAGTCGCCGTCCTTTGCCTCCTGCACCACAGCCCTGCTGCGGGAGCAGCGGGGAGCCGAGGACTGACTGCACAGCTCCATTCAGAACAACTCCACGGGCGAGTGAACGTACCTCAAAGTGAGAGACCATGGCATCCATCAGCTCCTCGCAGAACGGAGGATTTGCCTCAAAAGAGCCACTTATAGGAAAGAAATCCAGGCACGGGCTGGAGAAAAAAAGGCAAAGATCCCTATCAGAGAGGCTAGAATTCTAATTGTCACACCTTAAAAACCAACTGTTTCTTCCATAAAGGCTGTCACGCTCTCGGAAAGCCTGAACCCGCAGCAGTAGAGGGCCTGCAGACCGGTCGCTGGGGACACGCTCCACCTGTAGTCACTGACGGTGACTGCCGATACACGGGGACTGCCCGAGGGCCCTGGTCTCCCCCTCCTCAGAACAAGGGCAAGCACTGGCAGACCTATCAATTGCTTCACTCCGTAACATACGGTGTATGTATGTATACTCCGTAACATACTACACCACTTGTATACTTATATTTATATTTATAGTACTGGAGTCCCGCGCCCAGCTCTGGAGCCCTCAGCACAGGGCAGAGCTGGAGCTGCTGGAGCGGGGCCAGAGGAGGGCACAGCAATGATCCCAGGGCTGGAACCCCTCTGCTGGGAGGAGAGGCTGGGAGAGCTGGGGCTGCTCAGCCTGGAGAGGAGAAGGCTGCGGGGAGACCTTAGA